CCAGCCGCCATTTGTACACTTGCTCCTATGCCCTTTCTTGAAGCCGACATGCTTAATATGCTGTTTTTCCATCTCTCTCAGGCCTAAGCTTTGCTACAAAGGTTTACAGCAATATGAAAGTGGAAGGGTACAAAGCCATATAAACACAAAATTGTCTCCCTGTCTGGGCAAAGTAACACAGCATGCGTAAGGCTACTAAAAATATCATTGTCAATCTGAATAATGTTATGTGTTGCTGCTGTTGATATAACACTGTGCATAAAAACTTCCACATTTCCTGCAATGATCACTTTACAGTTTATATATTTATATCTTGCCGTACAATACACATGTAACTTCTATTAATGTGCCTAAGAGAATGTGTAAGTATTTGCAGGACATAAGCTACTTTGCATTACCTAGCACATTTTACTACATGCAGGGAGAAAGCAGCGCATGCTTTCTATTCAAACCTTTATGTGGATGTTTCCATTTTTAAAAAACCCTATATCAGAGAAATAGAACACAGCTTCATGTTGTGAATTTAAATAGACACAAAATGGCCATTTCAGTTTACCAAATGAGTTAGCTAAGATCTACTGTGTGGAAGCTCATCAAAACTAAATTTATGTGCCGGCTGACACAGTCCATGACTTATAGTTATGCGATATTACACCATATAGATTTGCTATTGCTATGCCACTTGTTTAGATCCTGCCACGAAACATGGTGTGTCCAATTTTGCATTCTTGATATTAATGGGTTTCAGTGGTACAGGACATGCTTTGCATGCAAAAGGTCTCAGGGTCAATCCTCAACATCTCCAGTTCTGCTTGGAAAATTTCCTTTTTTTGGTGAAAATTCTTAGAACCCCCCAACTAGTGTCCATATTGGCTGGTGACCATGGTGTTTGGTGGAGTTTGGGAATTTTCCACTTACGTCTGGCAAAATTTGTGGTCAAAAATTTGGCGAGTTCTTTCTAATCACCATAGACCAGCCATGGGCAAACTAAGTCCTGCGGGTTGGAAGTGGCCCTCTGGGCACTTATGTCCAGCCCCTTCCCATTTTTCCTGTCTTCTGGGCATAATTATGTGGTGGGTTGCTAATGACCTTATGCTAAAAAGATGGGGAGGGAGGCACGTAGCTGGGAGCCCTCTTGAGCCCTCTCAGTTGCCACGTGCCTTCCTCAGGCCCTCCTCCCAACATGAGGATGGGGTGAGCGGCCCTGTCCTTATACTCACAGGACAGCCCGTGGAAGACAGGTGGTAGCTGAGAGGGCTCCGGAGCCCTCTCAGCTGTTGTCTGCCTTGTCTTCCTTTCAGCATAAGGATTGGGGAGCTGAGAACTCTCAGCAGCAGCCTGTCTCCTCCTCCTCTCAGCCTGAGAACATAGCAGCCCATCACATTCCCATGCTGAGAGGAAGACGCTCCCTCCAGGTGCCAAATGCCACCATGCCAACCACCCTCATGCCCCCTGTGCCAACTGCCCTCAGTCTCCATCCCAACCCAGCCCAGCCTGCCTGCCCCAGCCCAGTCCACAATGCAGCCCCCACCCTGAGAAGTTTGTCCATGCCTGCCATAGACCATAGGTGAGCAACTGGTGGGGAGCAAAATTCTCAACACTATGAAATTCCCTCCCAACCAGCTTATTTCTTGACACCAATGTTTTGAAAAGTCATTTCTAGTTTCAATATCTGAAGTTTACATGGCTTTTGGTTTTTGATGGTTTTGAAGTGTGGCATGAAAGTAAATGAAGAAACTGCTGCTCCTGAAAGTAGCTATGAAATGGAAATATACCACTTCACTATGTGTTGTGTGGGGAGACTGTAAATTCAGATGGTGTGCAGACATTGAGGTTATGTCTATACATGGCCCATGGGTTGCACTTCCAGCATCAAGCTAGATAAACAGGTGGACCAAAGCGGTATGAAGTCATTTTCAACGTTTTTCCTCTATCACAACTCTGATTTATTAAAGCAATCATTGACCTTTCATATTCCTATCCAGATGATTGTACAAAACAATGTGAAGAACAAGTGTCTGCGGGCCCATGCATGGCCACTTCATTCTTAGTACTTTCTTCCATTGCTATCAGATCCAAAAACACACTTTTTTGATATAGCATTTCTAGGAATATATGAAGAAATTGGGATTTTTTAAAAAAAATGTTCAAGCTCAGAGAAAATGGTGCCAACATTTGTCTTCAAGTTCCTGCCAGATAACTTTAATTCTGAGAGCAGCCTTAATACTCCCTTTATTGTATCTATCTGATGGTTTTTAGTTCTAGTATTCCTAATCCTACCAATTTCTGAGGAATGTACCATAAGCCTCTTGATAGCCTAGGTCTTCTAGTTCCATGTTTTTTTTTTGTCAAAAATAGGCAAAGTAAATAAGGGGTGTAAAATAACCTGGCTAAAGATGTTATGGAGACATGGGTTGATTTTAAAAAATAAGGTATTTCCAGGAGTTTCTCCCCTAACCCTAATAGCTTTATTGGAAAATTTCCTGGAAGACCTGTGAGTTAAACTTAAGAATAAAAAAATTAATGGATGTGGAAACTGCTTTTTCTTGAAGGATTGGATACAAAATCCAATGGGCAAATTGGTTTGAGAGACAGCAGCTATATAAATGGAAAAAGGACTGTTTAGGTAAAAATCCCACATGAGAATTAAATAAATATGAAGAATGGCTAGGTAAGCTTAAAAAGCAAGAAATTATCAGGGAAAGGACTAATTGGGAAAATATACAATGGATTAATAGGTGAGGAAATAGAGCTGAAGTTGTTAGAAAAGGTATGAGAAGGATATCTAGGGCCATTGATGGATCTTGACTGAAAAGGGGTTCTAAAGTGGAGATTGGGTAAGAATCTGTCAAAAAGATTAAAAGAAAATGCATATAAAGTCATATGGAGGTGGTATACCACACTGGTTAAATTACACCTAATGGATAAGAAGCAAAGTAACCACTGCTAGAAATGTGGCATGCACACAGGTACATATTTTCATTTATGGTGGGAATACTTCCAGTTGAAGAGTTTTTGGAACAACATATTTAAGGAAATAGGTAACATTATATGATTAAATCTAGCCCTGGATGCTAGATTAGCATTACTAATGGATGTCACAAAGCTGAACTTAGAAATGAAAAAAAGAAAGAACTTTTTACTATTTTACTCGCAGTAGTGAGACTTCTAATTGCAATTGTCCCACCCTGGTCATTCCACAGGTATATAAACCCTTTTTCTTAGTTCCAACAGACCTCACTACCTCTGAGGATGCTTGCCATAGATGCAGGCGAAACGTCAGGAGAAAATGCCTCTAGACCATGGCGATATAGCCCGAAAAAGCCTACAACAACCCAATTGGAAGATAGTAACCAATCTCATGCTGAAAGCATGGTGGGGAGGTAAAGAAAGTAGCCTTAAATGATAAACTATTAATGCAAACGAGGATGTCCAGGAGGGAAATAAAAAGATCAGAGTTTGATTCATATTGGTTGGTTTTCATTAAATATATATTGGAGAGTGATAAGGAAAAACAATACAACCATGTTGGTCAAAACTTTTGGATATGACAGTTGTTTATTGGTTGACACATACGTTTATGGCTGAGGAAATACTTGTTTAGGTGTAGGTGGTGGGGTGAAGTGTTTGTAAAATGTTCATTATTTTGTATTCTGTTTACACTGTATGTTATTAATGTATGTGCATTATATCTATCTATCTATCTATCTATCTATCTATCTATCTATCTATCTATCTGGAATGGATTCTTTCTTTTTGAATTAGCAGAGATGACAAGCAATTCTTGCCATACTATGGTTTAATTTTATGTGAATTTGGTTAACTGCCCAGCTTTATCGTAATTGCTATAAACTAATGGGGAGGAAGCAAATGAACAAGAAGACATTGGGTCACATAATTTGTAACAGAAAATATTTCAATGTTAGTTATGGCTAGATCTAAATAGGGATGATTATCTTTGATTACTTCATTTTTGGAAGCGAAGACAATCACCACAGTTTGCTCCCTCCTGTGGATAAAAAATACATATTTCTTATCTGCCAGTCACATTCCTCAAAGTTTTCAAAACATGATTCTGCATAGAAAATACATGTGCATTTTGTGTAGCAATTGAAGGGTTTTGTGCAATGAGGCATTTCTCTCCTTGAGGCTGCTATTTTCTATACCCCCAACCCATAAATGTTACACAACAAAAATCTTGCAGGGCAAACAGCAATCTTACACAATAAAACTATGTGTCTATTATTGTGTGCAAAACTGTGGCTTTTTCTATATTTCTTTATTGGTAACCTACACTGGTAAATCCCCAGTAAAACCAGACTATGTGTTTTGGGAAAGGCATTGTTAAAGCGGGCATCTAGGTGATTTTTACAAAGAGCCCATTGTCTTGGATTTGAAATGGCTTTCAGGATGTTCCATCCCACCCAGATACTCTTGAGCAATTGATGAATTCTGTGCAAAATGTAGTTTTTGTTTTAAAAAACTACAATGACTGGTATCCTGTATTTGCTACTTAGTTAAATATACTTAACTGTTTAACTTCTCCTGATCAGATTCACCCCTCCTCCAGATGGAAACATCATTCACTCATGCTCCAATTGCCAGCAGAATGGATCTCTGTTTTGCCAAACACCTGATGCCAGGTATAGTAGGTGGGTGCGAATTATAGTTGTGGCAGTAGTATCCCCATTGACTAAGTAACAATTATGAACACCAAACAGTTACCTACATTTACTCATCTGTAAGATCTCATTTTAACACTATTAGCACAATCACAATTCCTTCCCAGACCTACTTTACTGGGCACCAGCTCATGTGAATAGGGCAATATTGCATTCTTCAGATTATATTCCTAAGAGCACTATCTTGAATCTCAAAACATGTGCTTTATACATTCTGAAAATATATATCATGGGTTACAATGGATGTAACTGCATAATAAAAAAGTAAGGATGCAGTTGAAATGCTAATGCACAAGAAATAGTATCCACCGTACTCACTTGGTTCTCTTTCAAGGTTATCTGTCCCTGCTCCTTGCACCCAATAAATGTTCTTATACACCTGAAAATTTTTTCGTCTTGTACTCTTTGAACAAAATTAGCCGGAAAATAGCCAACACGATCTTCTATTTTCCCCTGCAAATATGAGATAGAGAAAAGGGAAGAGTGAACTTACCATTAGTTACACAGCAATTTATTTTATTTTCAACATATTATATTTTTGGAGGTTCTCCCCATATTTGCATTCTCACAAAAACCCTGGGAAGCATCTATGGCATAAAGTTAATGACTAGTATAAATTCACAGAGTAAGTTTTGTGGAAGAACAGAATGGGAAGAACACAATAATTCTCACATTACTATATTGATAATATATCAGTGGTGTCTTCCATGTCAGTGAATCTGCTTCAGGTTTAAATCTGAATGTTAATGGTGCTAGAGTTCAGCACCTTGGATAGGTCCTTTGACATTTAATGGTCTCCTCATAAACCTCATGTTCTATTGCTGTACTTTGGTGTCATCTTATATCCTGAGAAAGATAGGAAGATTTAAAGATCAAAAAGTGATACTTTTTCTGGCAGGATTGTTGTGATACTAGTTGGAGGGGGCCTTTTCAACTGTCTTTAGGGCTCTGTTGCTGACAATCCTGCTTTGCTCCACAACCTGTTCCCCTTTCTGTCAAAACAATGCAGTATCACTAAAAAGCAGTTGCCCACCTCTTCAAGTCAGAGCAGAGAGCAGAGTTCTCAAATTATATTGTTTGTTCTAATACAATGTAGCAAAGGATGTTGCTGCATGTGAATCCACGCAAATGAATCCACATTCCCTTGAATATTGTAATGCCTAGGTATGTGTTCTTTTAACATTGCTTACTCATCTTATTTAGCATGATTTTGACTATTTTGATAGTACCTTCCACCAGTCTTCATTTGAGTCTTCCAGAAGTGTGATCCTGTCTCCTGGCCTATAATTTCAAAACAAAAACACAAAGAAGGTCGAGTTTAGGTCGGCTTCTCAATGTGCAGTGGGAAATTCTCACATCTATTTTTTGAGGTCATGGCTTTAGCGAAATTGGATTCAAATAGCCATAGGCTAAAACAGCTGGAAACTTGGACAGTTAAAACAAAACCTAAGAATGATGTTGAAAACTGATGACCTGAAAATGTTCAAGTCAGTTTCACATATACACGTTATTTACTGGATAGTGATAATGATACCTAGCTGTACTTATATATAACAGTTCTACCCTGACTGAAGAAAGAAAGCCAAATTATTTCCCCAGTTATTGTTGCTATGATATACTCTGCTAGTGGAGGGACACTTTTAGCAACAGAAAATGGTGGACTACAATTCCCATAATACCCAACCACTGGGCATTCTAAATATGGATGCTGGAACATGGAGTTCTCTTTAACAAGCCATTAGGGGTCTCATTTTCTAAGTGCAGGAACTTAAGTGTTATCCTTTCTCACTCAGGTAATTGTTTTTAATTATTTCCTGGCACTTCCTGTCATGGGGGCCGGTTGTGGGGAAACACTTAGATGTACAGGGTTACTTGGAAACCTTATTTTTCAATCCCCGTTTTCCTTTGCCAGCCGGTCAGGAGGTGGCAGCTGTAATGGTAGGGAAGTGGCAAGACAAGGTGGGAGGTGGCAAATGTGGCTCAGAGTTATGAAATGGAATAGTTGCCATGTTGATTCATTGACTGGCTCAAGATGTGGCCCAAAGTACACACTACAGTCAAGCATACAATGGCAACCAGATGGCTCTTTGGGAGTAGGCAAATTCAGAAGTGGTGGGAAATGGAATGGTGATTGGTAAATATGTATGCTGAACTCAAAACTAGTGGGAGGACATCTGGAGTGGTGAAGATGTTAAACATCCTTGGTTTATACTGTTTTTCTGTTCCATCTCTTAAAAAGGCCTGTCCTGTTTTAAAAGGGGGCTGCAGGGCAACTGTTTGGATTTTTGTGTATGCAGTAGAACTGTGCAAAAATCATAAGAGGATTGTAAATCATAAGAGTTTCATTAAATCTGTACTTATGACTGGATTTACAAAGATCATGCAGCGCCGCACCCCATACAAACAAATGAAAACATTTAGTTACAGAGTTTTTGAAGGAACTCCATAACTGTCATAAGAGAGTCAGCTTTCTTTTTCAGCACATGTAAACTTTACCGGGTAACGTAAGCAAAGTTGATAGGCCACAATCATCAACCTATTAGGGCTGAGGAAAAAAGGAGTAATTGCTCCTGGCATTTCCAATAAAAACAGTGGCCACAAGGACTTGCTCGCCATTGTGAGGTGAGCATGGTGGGAGAAAGGAGCTAGCATGCACTAGGCAGGCATACATGCAGGCAGGCAGGAAGCAAAGCAGCAAACAAATAGCTTAAATTTTAAGCTTAGTGAAAGCGAGTGTAGCACGCGACTAGCAGCTGGATTTTTCTGTTCAGGAAGGCTTTTATTACAAGAGATTCCTACAGCCGGGTTTGGGATTCTTCTTCTCCTTCTTCTTTTTCTTATTGGTAAAACTTTGAAAATTTCTAAAAATTGGTAAGTGAGTGGATCTTTCTGAAAGATGGCAGGAATTATGCCCTGTTCCTCTTCTCTCTCTGTGGAGAAATTCCAGTGGGTATCTTCTTTGATTTTTTTTAAAATGTTGGGCAACATTTTTAAAAATTCCTAAAAATCAGTGGGTGTGTGAATCTTCCTGAAACTTGGGGGAAAGAATGCCCTGGTTATGGTGTGTCATTGTAGAGAAATTTGAGGGGATAGCTCATGTATTTTTATTTAAATGTTGTTTGCAAAAACTTCAAAAATATGCTAAAAATCAGTGGATGAGCAAAACATTCTGAACTTTGGGGAGCTTTGAGGGGAAATTTGAGGGGATAGCTCGTGTATTTTTATTTAAATATTGTTTGCAAAAACTTCAAAAATATCCTAAAAATCAGTGGATGAGCAAAACAATTGTAGCAAGTTTATTTAGTGTTCCTATTGGCACGAATGGCGTAATGAACACTAATGGGGAGCAAAACAATTGCAGCAAGTTTAATCACAATAGCCCTAAAACTGAGGGAGGGAGGAGCCCCATTAGTGTTCCTATTGGCACGAATGGCGTAATGAAAAACTAATGACTGTTTTTGAATTGTGTTATAGATATGACATGCACCTCCTATGACTTTTTTGAAACACTTTAGAATCAAAACAGGGGTCATGTGAATTTTATTAAGAAAAACAAAGCAGTTTTTTCAGTTATGCACACTTCTAATATGCAACCATATCATAAAATGTGACTGTCCTAGGCACAATTATGCTGCTTAGATTCCATTCGGAAGAAGCAAGTCGTAGTTGAATGATGATGGTGGCTGAGTTGTTTCTGGGTATTCACAGAATAATCTTAAAAATAAATAAATACAAGTTGAATATCTCTTATTCTTTTTTTTAGATGAGAAGTGTTTTTGATCTTTATATATATTGTAATATCTGTATTTGCAAGTCTAAACATGAACATTCATTGATGTTTCATATACATCTTATACCCATAGGGTGAAAGTAAGTTTATTCACAATATCTGCAACAATTTTGTGTATAAAATAGGTTTGTGTACATCGAACCATCAGAAAGTGAAGGTGTCACTATATCAATTGCACATCTGGATAATTTTGGATTTTAGAGGATTATTGGATGAGGGATGCTTAATCTATATCACATTTATACTTTGCTCATAGTAATGGTTCCCATAGACTCTAGACTGAATTGAACATTGGTCCTGCTTCTCTAAACCTTTGTAGTAACAATGAACATCTCTTGAATTTCAATAGGCAGACTTAGTGGATTCAGTCCTCTATTTTTATATCCTAAGAATATGTTTTGAAGCATTGGAGCTTTACAGAGAGGTGAACAGATGCTGTCCAGCTTTAATTGTTTTAACTTAGCTGCCATTTCTACAATTCAAAAGAATATCTCCTAATAATATAGTAACATTACCTCATTTCCAAGTCTTCATTCTCTTGTGGTACAAATTTGTACAAGGCAACATAGGTATTCATCTGCACTGTGTCTTTATGAAGAGATCCCTTCAACATAGGAAAGAGGAAAAGAGGAGATGTTAGTGTCTATTTTGTAAAGAAAGGTCTTGAGCAAAAGCAGAGTTGTTGATGACTCTAAACATGGGCACTCTGAAGATAAGGTGCTCTTCCGAAGTAAGCTGTTCTATTCATAGAGCCATGTGGACTCAAACAGTCGGGGGGGGGGGGGCTTGAGGAGCTTTAGCCCCCCGAAATTCTCATGGTGGTCCACAAGAAGGCCTTATTGGTACATTATTTAAACTGTTACGTTTATTCATATCATGATCTGATCACCATGCTCAATATATCCCATATGCACGGGGATATTGGGGTAACGATACAAAAGGTTTGCTAGGGTAGAGGCTCTTTCACTCAGACTCACCCCCCCGCCCCCTGAAACCTTGGTCCTGGTTATTTGAAGGACTATGTCTCCCTATATTAACCCATTGAAGTTCTAAGAAAATCTTTAGAGGCTCATATCTTTCTTCCACCATTTTCTCAGTTTTGTTTGATAGGAATAAGGGAGAGTGCCTTCTTGGTGACTTCTCCTAGACTTTGGAATGCCTTTCTTATGGCCCTGTTCTTGTTCCCTTTTGGACATTTTCCTCATTTAAACATTGTTGATTATTATTATTATTATTATTATTATTATTATTATTATTATTAACTTTATGTATATCCCATCTTTCTCCCCGTGGGGACTCAAGGCAGCTAACAATCCCACACTAGACAAGCTTAAAAAGTACAATACAAAAGTTAAAACACAATTAAATAATAACAGTGTGGTAAAAACAGAATTAAACTACAATAAGTACACTTAAAATGGTCTTTTAAACTAATTTTTAGGCAGCTAGGTTTTTAGAAACTGTCCAAACTGGGTTTTTAATGCTTTGCATGCTCTTCTTAAGATAACTATGTATTTAAAAATGTATTTTAATGTATAATATTTTTATCAATGGTTTGTTTTTCAAATAATTTTATATTATATTTTAACATAGCTTTTGTACAGTTTTAATTTGTTACTTCAACATTACTAGCTGCCATGTGTTTCATTCTTCAAATAAAGGGCAGGATATAAATTAATATAATGCAAATAATAATAATAATAATAATAATAATAAGGTCAATAATGATAACTGATTTTATATGATACTTCCCTAGTGCTTCTCCATTTACTTCAGTCACAGCTATAGAATACAATATTTATTCTCTGTGGGATCAGTGTATAGCTAACATGGCACCAGAATCAGAAGCAGTACCCCACTGCAATTCTTCAACACAGCCCTGCCTGTAGTCGGAGTGGTCTGGAATTACATGCTCTATGCCTCAATTTTCAGCTGAACAGTACTCTGTGTAGCTGTCTGTTCTTAAGGTAGCTTTGAGGTATTGACCAAGGAGATATTACTTAAGATACAAATATATAACTAAGTAGGCAATGTAGAAAAAAAACTAATCCTTCATATCTCTATGCATATAGTATTGTATAAAATTAGTCCACTTGAGAAAATATAAAATTCAAATGTCAGTTAGTTTTAATTTGCAATAAAATATCACAGTAAAAGGTCACCTGTAATATAGAATTTATTTTCTTCGGTTCATCTCTGAAGTCCGCTGTACCATTTACTGAGTAGGTAAACACTGTAATCAAAGAGATAAGACATCTTATGACCAGTGAACTGTTGAAAAAAGTGAGTCATTTCAGATGCATTTCTTTATCTTTCTGTCATTATTTCTGTCATCTAACTTTCATTTATATCTGGCAATGACTTTCTGTGCCTAATTGTCTTATATGATACACACCACTTTTCGTCAATGTAAGACTTGAATAATTTGAGGACTATGAGGATGGATGATAACAATGTTATGGAAAAGATCTTTCTAAAATACAAATTTGATAATAATTCTATCAATTTTCTCACTTCTGCAAGAAGGTATTAAAAATGTCACTGTTTTTTGAAGACCACACACTTTGATACATCTCCTGTGCAAAACATGGCATTTTTCTTCAAAAGGAAAGAGCTTTTCTACATAGAAATCTCTGCACAGAAAATTTCCAATATAAAAATGCTGCAGTTGGGAACTTAGTCGGCACATAATTTGTTGTGTGATTTAATTAGAAAATAGCATTTTAAACACAGAAATAATTTATGTACTGAAAATACTGTTTTCTGTGCAAAAAGGTGGCATTTTTTGTACAGAATAAGAGTCAAACTGGAAAGTTTCTCATTGGCCCAGCTTTCTGAATTTTCTTTCTGAAAAACTAAACAACAAACAATTTTAATGCACTCAGCCACTCTGAGTTCACTTTTGGAGAGGTGAGACGGGCAGGATATAAATATCTGAAATAAATAAACAATATAAATTTACTAAAACACTGCTCCAATAAGATGAAAACATAAGAAATCAATGGTTTCTTGCCTTTTTTCCTATTCAATTATTAGTCTACTGTTTTCATGTTTGAAATGCACATGTATTAGAAATGTACATGATGCTGTTTCATCCTACCAGCCAGAGTATACCCATTCTGCCTCCCTATCATATGTGCAACCGATTTTGCAAAATCCATATGCTTGATCTGTGCCTTCTATGAAGAGGAGAAATTCAAATGGCCTGACAACAGGGTGGGTGTGACTGGTCAAAAGAAAAAAAAACCCTGCTAAGGTTAGCAGGTGAAATAAGGGACAGAACCCACATACCTCTAGCAGTTGTATATAAGGAATTTTCAGCCATTTTTGCATGCCATGTAAAATTCTCCCTTCTTTATAACCATTAAGGGTACATGAGTCCTGTCCCTTATTTCACATGGAAAGTCTGAGACTCATTTAAAGCTCCAACAAACAGAGCTAAAAACATTTGCATTGAATCAAACCATGGTTCACAAAGTGCATTTATTTTTGTTTATCTACATGTCAGAATCCTTGAGGTAAAGTTCAGGAACTAGAAGCTTTGCTTTCACCATGGTTTGTACAGATAGCATGGGCTTAAAAAAAAACAACCAAGGGAACAATGCTGAAATAGTTCCTGTATAATTTATGTGCTGACTGAACAAGAGTAAAGAAATCCAATGCCATTCAATAGAATTCTTAATGTTCTGCTGATGTTTGCTGGGACATCTACAAAACCACCATGAACAGTTTTCTTATGGAATATAATGACATGCAGATCTCACAAAGTAAACTTCTAAAACACAGAACCGGTGGAAGATACACAGAAATCTAAAAATCTACTTCCTTGAGGAAGAATCACTTAGTGGATGAAAGGTTATGTTCATGAAATAGGTTAAATGAGTAAAACAAAACAGTAGTGAGAAAAACAATATCAAGGGAAGAGACTCTGCGTATCATCTAAGTAATAATTCTGTCCCCTCAAAAAAATGGTCCTCAGTCCCCAAACACCTAGCATTGCAGAAAGTGAGGCATTGAAAATTGTTCATACTTTCCACTTTTATATTTCCTGTCTAGGTATACATGAGCAAAATAAGTCCACACAAGGATGAATTTACTCCCATGATGCATGGAAAAAGACACTTAACACAGTCTTGGCCCATGTTAAAACAAATTTCAGGATGCCCAGGAACTTCCCTGCACTTTGTGGTGGTATGAGGAGGATGGCTGCTTCACATGAAGATGCAGCTGCAACTGTTCACCCAGGGCCCTTCTACACTGTACTAAAATGTAAGTGGAAAATTATCCACTTCTGTTCACGTCCTACTACCCAACCCCAACAGAAAAACCCAGGGTTTCTCTGCAGGGGTGACTACATGCTATCCCGATTGAAACCGGGATAGCATGAAGCCACCTCGAAGCCCTCCACCAGGAGGATGCAAGGAGAGGCTCCATGGCTGCCAGGGATGCTTTTCAGTAAGTTTTAGGGTTGGGAGGAGGGGGTGGGTGACCTCTCAAACCTTTTGGCTTCAAGAACCCAAAAGTGCGAGATGGCTGTATCGATTGCCCCTTGGAAAGGGTGTGACACATCCCAAGAGTCAATCCACACAGGCCCAATACCTCATTAGACCTGGATATTTCATTAAGATCTCTTAGCCGATGGTTTGTTGACCGAAATAAAGGCTACTGGCTGACTGACTGATTAAGATCTGGATCTAATGAGGTATTTAATTAATTCAGAGTAAACCAAGGAAACCCGGTTTGCTCAGCATTAATTTGCTTTTACCAGAAGTGTCGTTTGGATGTTTCCAGTAAATGCAATACAGGTCTCAAAGGCCTCACTAGAAGGGCTCCCAGCCATTCTGCTTTCCTCGGGGTCAGGGAGCCTGAGGACAGAGATGGCACTTACCTTCCCCATCTCATTGTCAGTTTAGCAGTAACTGGTGGTGGTCATTGCTCATTTCATCCACTGACACTAGCAGAATGATGAAGTCATAGAAGGAGGGAGTGGGGAAAAGGAGGGAGAAATTCTTCCTTTCCCACTTTGCTTCTATTGCATCGCTTCATCAGAATGTGACAGTGGATGAGATAAGTGATGACAGCCACTAGTTTTGTGCTCGGGGATCACCACTTGGCTCAGAATGACAGGTAGAAAATAAGGGCAGTAGTTCATTGGCACTGAATTTGGCTGAATACCACTGGATTGTATGGATTCCATCCAGTCACTTGGTGCATGAAGTGTAGACACCCACCAGCACTGAGCATCTTGACAGCTGGCTATGAAGCTTTCAAGAATGTTGATTCAAAGTGCCCCATTCTGGATCAGCATCACCGTATTTGGCCCATACAGATGGGTCCTCAAGTATTGAGGTAGATGTGTCCCTGAGCATTATGCATTTAACAGGAAATTTAGTGCCAAAGGCAGAAACAACATAAGGAAAATAGAGAGAGGTTCCAACATTAGTTCAACATCGGAACATGGGCAAATGTTTTATTCAAACTGTAGCCATATGTGCATACAAAATAAAACTAGCACGTCAGGTAAGTCTTACTTATGTAAACAAAAAGTTTGAAACTGCTAAAGATCACTTGAAAGTTTCTTTTTAAATGCATGCAGGGATGACCTTTTCTTTCACCAGCTCCACTCTTCTTATGATTTGACTATTCATTTAATACATATAAATGCTTGTTGATAAGGCAAATATATCTTCTTTTGTCTACTCTTTTTTTTTACTGTTTCTTATTATAAGGAATTTGGGGTTAGGTGTTTGTTACCTTGCCTGTTGCAGGCAGGCACACAGCAATAGTAAAATTGGCTACAGCAGAAATACAGGTTGAGCATCCTTTATCCAGAGTTCTGTAATCCAAAATACTCCAAAATATGAAATTACCCAGATGGGTAGCCTTTGCTTTCTGATGGTTCACTGTATACAAACTTTGTTTCATGCAAATAATTATATACCTTTAGGCTATGTGTATATAGAAACATAAATTATCCAAAACATTTATTTATTTATTTGAAATGTATAAAATTACCTTTAGGCTATGTGTATACAGAAACATAAATGAATTACACATTTAGACTTTAATCCCATCTCCAAGATATCTCATTATGCATGTATGTCCAAATACAAGTATTCCAAAATCTGGAAATAACATTTCCGATAAGGTGTATGAAACCTATACTACTCTTTTTCAGTTTAAGATTTATTGTGTTTCTTAACATAGACAGGCACACAGCTGCAACCCGACACCAAAAATCTGTTTCCCTAGCCTTCCTTCACCAGCTTTCTAATGAGGCTGCTAAAAAACTTCAAGTTAGACAGATGACAAAGAAGGAAGGGAAGGCTGTAAAAGACCTTGTAAAAAAGGAGCCTTATTATTAGAAGATTTTAAACTGAAGTTTGCCTGCATTCACATTCCCTTGGGAACTTTGTCTGTCACTTGGGATATTTCACAGATTCTAAGGTGCTCATTTTCCTCATTTTGGGCGCTCTAAAAAGGGGTGTGTGGCTTACAATCAATAGTGCTTTTGATCCATGAGCTTTGGATTTTTAAAACAGGTCTACCACTAAGAGAGGAGGAGGAGGGTGAGTAAAAGGAAGAGTCCTGTCCTCAACAGCTCTGTCAGTGGTTCTCAACCACCTAAACTGGGCTCTACAGGCCAATGGATACTCCACCTCAGACATCAGAAGAGCTGCAAGACCGAGAACAAGCCACGAGAGTCAAGACAAAGATCCACCCAGAGAAAAAAGTGTTCTTGCCATAAATCAAGGGAACCACTGACCGCATCGGGAAGCTGATGAGGAAACACAACATACAAACTATCTACAGACCCACCAAGAAAATCCAACAAATGCTACGTTCAGCAAAGGATAAGAGGGATCCTCTCACCTCTGCTGGAGTCTACTATTTACCATGCAGCTGTGGACAAGTCTACATATGGACCACCAAACGCAGCATTGCCCAAACATGAATCAAGGAACATGAAAGGCACTTCAGCCAGAGAAATCAGCCATAGCAGAGCACCTGATGAACCAACCTGGACACAGCATATTATTCGAGAACACAGAAATGCTGGACCACTCTCACAACCATCATGTCAGACTACACAGAGAAGCCATTGAAATACACAAGCATGTGGAATATTTCAACAGAAAGGAGGAAACCATGAAAACGAACAAAATCTGGCTACCAGTATTAAAAAACTCTAAAATTAAAACAGCACAACAACAGAGAGGAAACAAACAAGGACATCTAATCACCTCTCAACAAAAGTTTGCTCCAGGCACAGTCAGGCCATTGTATACTAATCAAGGTGGTCAGAGTCCTTTGTCCCACCCTGGTCATTCCACAGATATATAAACCCTTTTTCCTAGTTCCAACAGACCTCACTACCTCACTAGCTTCAAAAAATGGGGTTTTCCTTACATTGAATGGTGCCTTGGATTCAGTGAAATACAGTATATTTAAAAATGCTCAGTAGAGGAAATGACAATGCTAGGATTTTTGGGACTGAAGAGAAATTTCATTGGGAGGTGCAAACCTTTTTGAGGGGTGGGAGGGGTGACATCAACGTTTTTATTTTGCCCCTCTTCCCAGCTCACTCCTGCAACATGATTGGCGTTTAATGTATGCACAAGAATGGGACATACACACACAAACACACACATACTTCAAAACATACTAGATCTGAAAAACACGTAAAATTAAGCACTTTGGCATGAAGTGGGGGTGCCACTGAAAATCTCAGCTTCATTCTCACCGCTATTGCTGCGTTTCCTGTTTATGTCAAGTAAACCTCCTGGGCTGTCACCTTCTTCAGGAACTTCTGCCAAATCTGACGTCTGTAAGGAAGGAAAAAAAGACAGAAGAGAGGAAAAGTGAGCAGAAGGGTGAAAGAAACACATCAGAAAATTGAGCACATGGCAACAGTTTGGCAATGATAGTGGGCTGAGAGGAAAGCAGGGGTGAGTACAATTGCAGAGATTGCATGCAATCCAGAGGTAGAGTTCAAATACTTGATGGAAAAATGGCAGAACATTTCAAATGAGCTGTACACTGAGATGGTTACTCAAATGCAGAAAAGCTTTTTTACATGACAGCGGAGATTGGAAGGTTACTTCTAAGATCTGAGTCCCAGAGCTACAATCCAACCATTACTTACTTATAAAGTAACTTTTCAAGCTCTGCACAAGGGAGGAATATGAAAAAAATGGGGAAAATGAATTTTGGAGTATATTTATCTATTGTAGCACCGTTTCTCAGGGTGGCATACAATTAAAACTAGAAAGACATACTGGTTTGAGTGCTGGATTATGACTCTGGATACCAGGGTTTAACTCCCCACTGAACTATGAAAACCCACTGGGTGATCCTGGCCAAGTTACACTTTTTCAGCCATAGGATCGCCATAGGTCGTAAACAACCAGAAGGCACACAAGAACAACAAACATGTTTAAAACAACAATTTAAAACAGTTCAAAAATGTAAACATATATGAAATAGATTAGGTTTTAATATGTAATTTCAGCAACTACTTGCTAGCCCACACTACTCTCCAAAATTATTATTATTTTATTATTATTATTAACTTTATTTGTACCCCAATAACATCTCCCAAAGGACTCGGTGCGGCTTACAAAGGCCAAGGCCCTCAATAAAACAACAGCATAACAAATACAACAATAACTCATAAAGCAAACCAATAAACATTAAAGCAATAACAATAAAATATTAAAAACAATACATCATGACACATTTAAAACTAGGGCCGGGCCAAATGTAATGACTAAAATTAAAAGTGCTGGACATGACAGGTGAAATGTAAGGATTTTAGGGTAGGTGCGATGTGCAGGCAATCTCTAGTAAAGTGCATTTGGGACATGATGCTGGGAGTTTTCTATTCTGGAAAAGCACACTGGAACAGCCAGGTCTTCAAGCTCTTCCTAAAGACTGCCAATGTTGGGGCTTGTCTGAGGTCCTTGGGGAGAGAGTTCCAGAGTCGGGGGGCTACCACAGAGAAGGCCTGTCTCTTGTCCCCACCAAATGCGCTTGCGACGCAGGTGGAATCGTGAGCAGGGCCTCTCCAGAAAAGCCCCTAGCCTCCAATGTTTTTTATTGGCAGTCTTCCATCCAAGCACCAATCAGAGCTGGTATTGCTTAGCTTCTAATATCAGAGAGGATCTGGTGTATTTAGGTTATTTAGAACCCCACTGAGGGCCCTTCCAGTCAAGGCAGAAACCAGGGAGGATGTGGGCTATTTTAACCCACTTTCTCCCAGGTTTCTGCCCCCACCTCAACCCAAACCCCAGGCTTTCCATTGAAGGTTGACTAGTCACCATCCCAGGGTTGACCTGGGATGGCATCCAGCCTCCCGCAGCTCCCCATTTCCCCTCAAAAAGACTTACCAGAGGGGACTTCCGGCAGCACAGATCCCTCTGCAGAGTACTCCTGACATGCAAAAATGACACGTCAGGAGCTGGGAGTGGGGAGGAGGGACTTTGAATCAGTCTTTCTCCTTTAGTCAAGCCTACCTTACATGGTAGCTATCAGAATGAATTGGACAAAAGGAAATGTCATATATGCTTCCTTGAGCTACTTGGAGTAACAGTGGAACATAAATATAACAAGAAAACATATACTTCCAAACTCTCATGAATCCTGACACTTTCCAGAATAATCAACTGATGTTTTATTGAATCCTTCCGAAATGACTGTGGTTTTAAGAACACACTTACGCATAATCTGCTACTTGACAGCCTGACTCGCCAAGGAGTAAATCCTATGACGAATTGGCACCTAGCATTTACTCCTACTCTCCATCTGATGAAAAATTCAAGGCAAGCTGACAATATGTTCATGTTTTGTATGGTTGAGTAATCATTTTTGTTTAACAAAATACTTAGATCATCTGAGAGAGAGAAAAAAATACAATTGTGGAAGTTCCAATCTGTGGAGGAAGCAAAGAAACCAAAAGGGAATATTGCAATAGCTAAAACTACCTGTGTGTTGAAAAAAAATTACAAATCAATTAAAATGGACCATTATTGTAGGCATAAGAATCTTTAGTTGTTACAAGAATCTTTAGTTGTTTAGTGATATCAACCAGTTAGAGTAGCACTGAAATCTGAATCCAGACTAGGCCAGAATGGATTGGATTAGGTTACAGTGTTGTGTTGAATTTTGTTCACAATTCATACTCTTGCCAAAAGTGGCAACAACCAGAGGCTATGCTAGAAGTAAACTTGGAATTTCCTGGGAGTCAGTGATATATGCTGCCATATGTTATCTATATACTATCTTTTTATTTAGTCTCCTCAGAGTAGGCTCATTAAATGAAAGCTAAGTCATCTCTTTGTAAAATTCAGTTGATTCAATGGGTCAATTCTAGTAACCATACGAATAGCCAGGGGAATGCTGTGATGTCCTGTTGCTTATCTCCTGCTTTTCTGTCATAGCACTCTTTGGTTCTATATTCTTTGAACTATAGAGCCAAAAACCTGCCTTAGTTGTACACAACCTGTATCTGCAGGTAGTCCTCATATGGAGAGATTTTAAAGCAGCCCTGTAGAAGAACTGGACAACTATAACACATTTCATTTGAGGGTTATTTCATTGGGTTGTTGTAGGTTTTTTCAGGCTATATGGCCATGTTCTAGAGGCATTTCTCCTGACATTTCGCCTGCATCTTTGACAAGCATCCTCAGAGGTAGTGCTCACTACTTCTGAGGATGCTTGCCATAGATGCAGGCGAAACGTCAGGAGAAATGCCTCTACAACATGGCCATATAGCCCAAAAAAACCTACAACAACCCAGTGATTCCGGCCATGAAAGCCTTCGACAATACATTGGTTATTTCATTTGTTATGGTTTTCCTTCATATTGTTTCCAATTAATGGAGTCCCAAGGCAAATCTACCATTGGGGTTTCTTGGCAAGATTTGTTCACATAGGGTTTATTCTTCATCTGAGACTTAGTGAATGTGATTGCTTCTTCCCTGAATTTCCATGTCCAAGAGAGGATTCAAACCCAGGTTTTTAGAGTTGTAATTCAATGCTCTATCCACTGGACCATACTGACTCTAATCCACGTTTGCTACTTCTGTTATGCCAAAGTTCTAATGTGAGATCATCTCACATCATTTATGGCTGGATCTACACTACCATATAAACCAGTTTCAGAATGCAGATGAACTGTGTTGGATTGTATGCATCTACACTGCCATATAATCCAGCTCAATGTAGTTAATCTGCATTCTGAAACTGGATTATATGGCAGTGTAGATCCAGTTTATGTCTCCACCAGGGGGTGAAAGTGTTTCCCTATATATATATATATATATATATATATATATATATATATATATATATTACCAAACTACAAAGAAGAAGAGGAAGAGGAGGAGGAGGAGGAGGAGGAGGAGGAGGTGGAGGTGGAGGTGGAGGTGGAGGTGGAGGTGGAGGTGGTGGTGGAGGAGGTAGGAGGAGGTGGAGGTGGAGGTGGTGGTGGAGGAGGAGGAGGAGGGGGAGGAGGAGGAGGAAGACAACAACAAATTCAAAACTGATTGATTGGGAAGTTATGGTGATTATATTTCAGAGATCTTGCAGTCCTTCTGGCAATGAGTATGATGTTATAGTGCCCCCAGTTATTTTTTTAAGGAAACGTTGATGATCTCTCCCAGTCTTAGTTGCAGAGCATATAGTGAATCAGTTTCATAGAAGCATGTGTTTCAAATGTTTTGAAGCTGTTCATTTCCTCATCATTTTCAAAAATAGTCCTGGCCTGGTTTTTCTAGTAGAATATCAGAATTCTAAAATCAAACAGGATTCCCCATCTGTTCTGTTTCTCTCCCTAACAGCTATTGAAAAGACTGCCTTTTTGTTTTGCTTGTTATGCCAACCAGACTTGACTGTGCATGGAACAGAATTTATTTCAAAGCTTTCTGATGTTAAGCACTGATCGACCTCTCTGCCCTTCTTAACCAGCCAAGAGATTCATGCCATGTTAAATTGTTTTGCCCCTTCTCTTTAAACTGGGCAACTACTTCTCAACAGTTCTTCTTTTCTTCTTCAGACAGTTTATTGAGAATATAGAGTTTCTGTTATTCAATTAATTATATTGTTCACTAGCCGTCTCCTGCCATGCATTGTTGTGTCCCAGTCTGTGTATATGTGTTTTGTGTGTGTGTGTATGTATATATAAATGTGTATATTTATATGTGGTTTTGTGCATGCATTTTAATGTATTTTTAATATCTTGGCTTTTTAAGTCTCTTCCACTGTGTTTTTCCAGTGTTTTTATGAGTGATGGTCATTTGTTGGCCTGATAGGTGTATCCAAATTTGGTGTCAATTCATCCAGTGGTTTTTGAGTTATGTTAATCACCAAATGAACATTATATTTTTATTTATATAGATTTTAAAACCTTGCATATACTCGTTTCTCTTATTACTGCCATCCCACACTCTTCTGTGTTATGTATTATCTTTGATTCTCCCTTCCTCTCCCTCTGTCTTTCCCAATATTATTAAACCTTGCAGCATGGACCTGAGCTCTCTTTCTCTCTGCTCCTGCTCATTTATTTATCTATTTATTTATTTACACCATTTCTACCCTGCCCTTTTCACCCCCGAGGGGGGACTCACGGCGGCTAACACAGGCAGCAATTTGATGCCACAATATCAATAATAACAATGTAAAGTCATAATACATAGCAAATTAAAAACAGTAATATTAATTATAATTACATAATCACATAATCACATAGTCACATAGTCGCTTCAAATTGTCGTAACAGTCCTGTGGTCCAGGTTCAGTGTCTAAAGTGCTGCTGTACCTACTAGCCAAAGGCCTGGTTCCAAAACCATGATTTTAGTTTTTTTCCTAAAAGAAAGGAGGGAGGGCGCCAATCTGATCTCACTGGGGAGCGAATTCCACAAGCAGGGGGCCACCACTGAGGTGGCCCTGTCCCTCATCCCTACCAGACGCGTTTGCAAAGCCGGTGGGACCGAGAGCAGGGCCTCCCAGTAGATCTTAAATTACGAGGTGGCCTCTCCTGGCTCTCTCCTGACATGGAACCCAAAGCAGCTTATAATACTGAAACAAGGGAAAGTTGAACTGGATAAACTTGATTTAAAATGTTAAAACTATTTCAAGCTATCACATTTAAGCAACATTAATTTTAAAATATTTATTTTTGTAAGCATAGGCTATGTGAATGCAGCTGTAGAGAAAAAAAGATCCCCCCACAATCAAATCAACTAGTATGACTGCGAATGGGGATTTCAGAGATGTAGTCGTATTTATTCATCTCTTGCAGTATGGAAAGGAGAAAGGCAGGAGCAAAGGTGGGCTTTGGTAGATATAAATTCATTTCTTCAAATGCAACAAAGAGTGAGTTCAAGGCCTCACATTATTGTAGGCATGAGGTGGAATGTAATAGGATCTAAAAAGATGAAAGAAAGCTTCATGAATATTGAAAATGAAACAAAAACAGCATAGTTACAGAATTCCTCTTTGGTGAATCCGAGCAACTCCCTGTGCTGCTTTTCTTGGTTTTCTGGGCCAAGGAAGTTCCAAAGCGAAGTGCTTCATAGACAGGGTCAACCTTATTGCCACATGCTACAAAAGAAATGAGACATAGTTAAGCAGGTAAAATGTATCCTGTTTGTTTACTGAAAAACATAATTTATTTCAAGGTATATGTTGTTGTACTCGCATCATCACTGATTACTTCTCAGTTGGGACTGATGGAAGACAAGGGACTTTAATGCACAAAGGTAGCAAACCTGCTTTGAAGCAGGACCATCACCTTTCACACAAGGCCATGAGCAACCTATTGCTGGTTTACCACTCTGCCCTCCCCCACGATAAATTTGTCCCTTGCTATTGATGGGAAAGCCAATCAATAGGCACTGATCACACTATAATATAATCATTTATCTTGTGCAAGGAGTCTGATCTGCTTCTGTGCATAGTGGCACAGAAGTGACATTAGATGGAGGAACTGTTCTAATTGTTCACTCTCCCCCACTATCTCAAACTGATTAATGAATTTATTTTGTTAATAACTTTCACTTTCATTGTGAAGTTGCTTGTAAACTTTTTTTTAAAAAAGTCTTAACAGAATAGTGGGACGGTGGGAACACAGTTATGATCCTAACTAGAAATACTACAACAGGGCTCTGATATGGCAAACTGTTGCATTGACACAACTATGGAGAAGTGCGCTAGTGGGGGAGATCATCCTGATGCAATAACGTCCATAGTTTAATAACATTGGGATACTTGTCTTAGAAGGAGAAAAATCACGAGCTTGATGTATGCCAGCATTAATGAGAAAAGCAAACAACTACCTGTGGGGTACTGGTGAAGGGTACAGTTTGCAGAATGGAAAAACAAAACAAAACAGAGAAACTCCCACTTGAACTTACCAATAGGCATAACTTCTTTGATGCAGCCAAACTGCTCATGAATGAGTAATGGAGAGCTGTAGTAACGGCGAAAACCTTTGGGCTGGAGAGAGAGAGAGAGAGAGAGAGAGAGAGAGAGGGGGAGGAAGAGTATGAACAAGTGGTCAGTTCAATATGACAATCAGGGTTTGCAAGTTTGAAATATGGGGATTTTTTATTACTAGAAATTTTATTAGCAGAGCTATGTTTTCCCAACAACAATACAGGCAGTCCTCAAGTTACGAACAAGATAGTATTAGTTATAAAGACTCAGTGGAGACATCTTTTGCACCAGCTGCGCCCGTACCTTGGGAAGTCTGACTTGGCCACGGTAGTCCACGCTCTGGTAACATCCCGTATAGACTACTGCAACATTCTCTACGTGGGGTTGCCTTCGAAAACTGTCTGGAAGCTCCAAATGATCTAACGAGTGGCGGCCAGGTTGCTAACGAGAGCAGCGCTCAGGGAACACACAACTCCTCTGTAGCGTCAGCTCCACTGGCTGCCAGTCTGCTACTGGGCACAATTCAAAGTGCTGGCTTTAGCCTATAAAGCCCTAAACGGTTCTGGTACAGCTTAACTATCCAAATGTATCTCTCCTTATGAACCATCTAGGACTTTAAGATCGTCTGGGGGTGCCCAGCTCTTGATCCCACTTTCCCTTCCAAGAGGTAGAGTTCTTTCACTTTCTGTTGTCTCATCTCTGTTCTTAGCTATAAGTCATTTGTCAGTCAGATGTTTGTGGCTTGGGGACTGCTTGTATACTGTTATGAATTATCCTTTTATTATACAAGTGTGTGCTTGAAAACACAGATACACCTAATACCCGCAATCCAGCATTCTTTTGATGTAACATACATGAGGAGATACCCACAAGGTACTAGTTCTAGTTTTCCAGCAGCATTTGGTCAGAGAGACTTAGAGCCCATCTACACCAACCCTTTTATGCAACTTCAAGATGAATTGAAACTGCGGTGGCCGCAAAACACATGCCAACAAAGCATGTTGCAGTATGCATTAAAAATTGCAGAAAAGTACAAAACAAGCCCTATGATGTGATGTAGCAGATCCCAATGTATCCCAGATCCAGAGTGAAACTGGCTCTACAAAATGCAGAATACATTGTAGACATTCACCCCTTCTGAATTACATTATAGATCCAGAATGGAGGCTGCCAAAAATGCCCCAGGGCTAATTGACCCACTGAGAGGTAGAAATTGATCATCTCTACTCCTATCTGTCACTCCTCCACCCCCCCCCCCCCCCCCCCCCCCCCCACACACTTCCTATGCATTTTGAGATCTGGTGTGGAGCTCTCCCTGAAATGGGAAGAAAGATTAATAGAGCTGCTTGCTGCCATCTTCTGTGTTGAGTGTTGGTACCCACTTGACCTAAAACCAGTTCAAGACCTGCCAATCTAATCACTCACACAGAGAAACCAGTTTTTTCCAAACTGGTTCCAAGCTTCATTATAATGTCAGTAAAAACGTGCCCTTATATCATATAATCGCTAGAGACCATAAGGACCATACAGTCCAACCTTGCCATACAGGAATATACAATTGCCTTCCAGCCTCTGTTGAAAAAAGAGACTCTGCCACATTCTGAGACAATGTATTTTACTGTTAAGCAGCTCTTATCATCAGGATGTTCTAGCTAACTTTTAGGAGAAAACTCTTTCCTTGCAGTTTGAATTCATTGTTCTGTGTCATAGCCTGTGGCTACAGAAAAATGATCTCGGATGCTGCAGAGCTCTTCAGATGCTCCACTCCTGCCCTGCAGCATTGGTACTGGTGGAGTCCAGAGGGACCTATCAAGTCAAAACTGATTTGCCCTGGATTAATTGGCACCTTTATCTGTCCAGTTATCCCCATCACCACAGAGCTGGTTGGAGAGCTCCTAGCCATTGGAGGAAATGCACTTGTGAAACCTATAAAGCCCTAAACTATTCTGGCCTAACTTACCTGTCCAAATGCATCTCCCCTTATGAACCCTCTAGGATGTTAAGATTGTCTGGGGAGGCTCCTCTCTCTATCTCGCTTGCGTAACAAATACGTTTGTTGGGGACGAGAGACAGGACCTTCTCAATGGTGGCCCCTCAGCTATGGACCGCCCTTTCTAGGGACATTAGATGGGCCCCCTCCCTTTTAACATTTTGGAAAAAAGTCAAGACTTGGTTGTTTGAGCAAGCATTTGAAAATGCAATGTAACAGACTATTTTTATGACCCTGTTCCTTTATGAGTTTCTCCCTCATAAACAATCTGCTCTATCTCTGTCTCATCTTGATTTTAGTATTTTTAGTATTTTAGATTTTTATCTTGCACATGCAGCCCGCTCATTGTTATTTTATTGTGTATGATTTTGCTTTATCGTGTTCTTTTGTATTCATATGTTGTATGTATTTTACTGTGATGTTATTGTGTTTTGGTTTTATTTTATTGTAATATGCTGTTAGGTTTGGCCTAATGTAAGCTGCCCCAAGTCCCCATTGCGGGGATGGTGGTGGGGTATTAAATAAATATTATTATTATTATTGGAATATGGAACGACTGGATGAGGAGATTGGACAACTTTTTAACTAGGAGACACAAATGATTTATGTTTTATTGATTTTGTTATGGTCTTATATATGTCAATGTTTTTAAATGTTTTTATGGTGTTGTTCGGCATTGAATTGTTGCCTCTGTAAACCGCCTTGAGTCGCCTGTGGACTGAGAAGGGTGGTATACAAATAAATAAATAAATAAATAATAACTAAATAAGAGGAAGGGGAGTGAAAAACAGACTTTTCCAGAAACAATGTATTGCTTTGCTATCTTGAAGGCAGAGTATTTTTGGCCAGCTTGACCCTGAATTTGCATTAAAGTCTCATTTGGTCTGCAAAAGAGTGGCTCCTAATGTAGATGAGTGAATTGGTTGGTTGATGCGGATGTGGTTATACAATAGTACACCATTGCACAAAAGGAAAAGCAAATGGAGGATGCCAATGCAGAAAGCACAATGATGTGAAGGTAGTAATATTTCAAGAACAGAAAGGCAGAAGATCAAAAGACTTGTGGGGTAATCAGCAGGTATCCACTCTGGCAAGTGCCCAACAAAGTTAACTTCCTGATGCCATCTCTGCTCTGGCATATTCTTCAACTGTTCTGATTTGGCAGGGATAATTCTAATTAATCCATTGTCTTCCCACTTTTTCAGCTTTTTAAAAAAGGTCCCTATTTCCTTCCCACTTTCCCCATTCATCTTCAGCTTCCTTCAATGGCTTCAAACTGAGTTCAAAGTCCAAAAGTAATTTGTAGTCAGTTAACGCAGCAGGGATAGAATCCTGTACTCTCAGTAGAATCAGGCCAAAACAAACTGCTGTTTCTGTACTGTGGGTCCTGCATCATTAATAATGTTTGACATCTTGACCACTCTCTGATACTGGTTGGTCCTAGTTTCCATTTATGAAATATTGGAGGATATGTTTTAGAACTGTGTGATCACTATTCTTTTACTGTACCTGTAAGAACCGGTTTGGGTATGATACATGTAATTTGTTTTACCTAAAATCAAGTCATTTCTAATTTATCAAAGTTTCTTAACATTGTAAGTCTACTTCTTCAGCTCAGACTGGAGGGACCTGGTAGGTCATACCATTTGCTCATACCTGGTTTGCAGTTATAATCAGATCCTACTCCACAGGCTTACCAGTTTCCCCATGCAGCGTTGTTGCCCAATGCTTTCTGCACATCTGTGGTGAATGCTCAGCTTACACGCCTTGCAGCGTAATCCATGTTTAGCGTTTGTTCCTGTTGGGAGTGCAGGGAGAATTTAATTAGACAGCATCAATAGTTTCCATTCACTTACCAAGCGACCCGGTCTACAGACTCAAACAGGCTTCAACTTTATAACACGGCAAAAAGTTCCAGTCTTACTGCAAAAGAGGAAGAGCCATTAACCTTTTCAGGATTTTTTTTTGTAACAATTGGGTGTTTTTTTCCCCCCAGACCTCAAAAAATACATTATGGCTTTGTTGCATGTGGGGGGGGGGGGGATCTGTCTATTTGCAAATAATAATTGTATTTCAAAGTACAGGCTCCTATGCATTATTGAAACAGTTCTGAAATATTATAACTACGAATCACTTTGTAATAGGTTTCCTTTATTTTAATCGTGAGAAATTGCAAGTCGCTTCTGGTATGAGATAATTGGCTGTCTGCAGGGACGTTGTCCAGGGGATGCCTGAATGTTTTACAATCCCGTGGGAGACTTCTCTCATGCCACTGCATGGGAAGCTGGAGCTGACAGGTGGGAGCTCACCCCATCCTGCATATTTGAATCACCAACCTTCAGGTCAGCAGTTCAGCCAGTACAAGGGTTTAACCCCTCATGCCACCACGGTTTCCTAATGGCACTACATTTTCTCAGTACAAACATATAAGCAAATGAACAGGAAAACAAATAACCGAACTTGGGATCCTAAACCCCAAGTTTAGGATTTGCCCAAGACCCTTGGAAGGTGTCAAGTTAGAGAGTGCCATTTTATTCAAATTTTCTTCAAACGTCTGCATTCCAAACACATGTTTAAAAAAGAATTTCCCCATAAAAACTCTAAAATTACAGCAGCACAACAACAGAGAGGAAATAAACAAGGACATCTAATCACCTCTCAACAAAAGTTTGCTCCAGGCACTGGCAGGCCATTATATGCTAATCAAGGTGATCAGTTGAAACATTCAGACCTAGCTCTAGCAGACAAGAGTCCTTTGTCCCACCCTGGTCATTCCACAGATATATAAACCCTTTTCCCTAGTTCCAACAGACCTCATTACCTCTGAGGATGCTTGCCATAGATGCAGGCAAAGCATCAGGAGAGAATGCCTCTAGACCATGGCCATATAGCCTGAAAAAACCTACAACAACCCAATTTCCCCATTCTTTGGTCTTGGAACATCTTGACACAAATGGCAATCAATAATGTTTAAAGCAACTGTAACTGGGTATCATACATTATGTAACTAAAAATATCTTCATACAGATTTTGAGTCCAGAATTAAAGCTTCTCCTGTAGACTGATGCATTTTTGCTTGAATGAGCAGCAAACAGTCCTGTACCAATGCCTTGGATACTGTATGCCAACATGCATTTAATGGGCAAGAGTGTGAAATTACATTTGCAGTACACAGATGGTCTAATCCAGCGGACTTCTTTTTATGTATTGAAATATGCAGAGGTGTATTCTAGTCTAAATCCAATTGTTACTGCCAGCTAGAGCAGACCTGTCAAATTAATCTGAATTGATAAGTCAAAACTTATGGAGGATTCATACATTCAATAAGTCTATTCTGGCTGGCATAATAATTTGATTTAGTCCCTTATTATTAGGTGATGTCAACCAACTTCATCATTATATTTAGGAAAGCTTTTCCTGTTGTGCCTCTCAAGCACATTCATCCTTGTAGCGTGTCACCCTTAGCAATTATTAACAAGACACTATTCTATTGCATCGGTGTAAATACAATCCCTTTTCCTACAAAGAAGCGAACACAATTTGGACTCTTCCGGCATCTGCTTCCGAGCCGATGGAGAGCTTTTAACAGCATGCAAATCGACCTTTTAAAACACCCTCCTTCCACCCACATTCCAAATGTCCAGGCATTCAATGCGTTCATGATAGCTCAGAGCAGCCAGCTGTTGATTTCATCATGTGACGGAGTAGTGTTATACAACACAAGGAGAGATTACTTAAGGGAGAATGGGAGATTAATTACTAAAAAAAGAGATCCGTAATTGTTAGGTGGTTTAGGGCCAATCTATTATGCTTAATGCATAGCATCCAGCTTTATCCCTATTTTGTTCTCAATTACCATGGGGAAGGGGGAGGTAGTGGTGGTGGAAGTGTCCCAGACGTGGAAGGAAGGCTTCTTTTCCTGTTTTCTAGATCAGGGCTTCTTAAACCTTTTTCACCTTCTTGCTCGAGAATGTTTTTACGTAGCCCCAGGTATATTAAAAAATATATCAAATCAAATGTTTACTGAATATAAATCAGTATTTGAAAGGCTTGCTAAACAGGTTGATCTTTGTATTGTCAAAGGCTTTCATGGCCGGAATCACTGGGTTGTTGTAGGTTTTTCCGCGCTATATGGCCATGTTCTAGAGGCATTTTCTCCTGACGTTTTGCCTGCATCTATGGCAAGCATCCTCAGAGGTAGTGACCTCACTACCTCTGAGGATGCTTGCCATAGATGCAGGCGAAACGTCAGGAGAAAATGCCTCTAGAACATGGCCATATAGCCCAGAAAAACCTACAACAACCCAGGTTGATCTTTCTTTTTGTAGAGTACATCTGAAGCATTATTTGCAGATTCACTGTAAACATTGCATGTTGTTGCTAACAGATGTTGATAATTGGGTGGCCCACAGAAACCTTTTACCGTTGCCAGTATTTTGTGACACCAACATTGAGCTAAGAAGACCACATTTGGGGTCAGGATTCATGTTTAAGAACTTATGTTTTAGATGAGATGAGAATCCAAACGCTTGTTCAGCCTGTCACCTTTACATGACTAGGAGACTTAGAAAAGGAATTTCCACGGGCATGAGTGGAAACTTTCCCCAAAGCTCCTAGACGCACCACTAGGACTGGGTGGATTTTACCCCAATTCCATCTGGAGCAGGAAGTTATACATCCTCTTCTACATGTGGTGTACACTTCAAAACTATTTCCAACACTTTACCAAATCTATGTAAGTAGACACTTAAGATTTCTGTGATGTTTGAGCTTTGGTACCTGTATTCAGTGGTGAAGACATGGGTGGGAAAAATAGGGTGCTCCCAAATAAGACCCCCCCCCCCACAGTACATCTTTAGGCTGCGGTAGGGCAGCATGTTAAATAGCTAGCTGCAGAAAATCTGCTGACTGGAAGATTGGCAGTTTGAAGTTGTGAGTTGGGGTGAGCTCCCAACTGTCAGCCCTAGCTTCTGCCTACCTAGCAGTTCGAAAGCATGTAATACGAGTAGATCAATAGGGACCACCTTGGTGGGGAGGTAAAAAAAGGGCACCCCATCCAGACATGCCGGCAACACAATCTGAGAAGTCTATGGACAACAGGCTTCTTGGAATGAAAAAATAGAACAACAGCACCCCCCATGGTGGAAGTTGAGTATTGCCTCCAGATGCTGGAAATGGAAGGGGGAGGCCTTTACCTTTGTCTGTGTATTGTATGTCATTGTTTACTGTGTAAAAAGGAATTGAATGTTTGCCTTATATATATATCAAACTATAATCCGCTCTGAGTCCCTCCGGGGAGATAAAGCAGAATATAAATAAAGATTATTATTATTATTATTATTATTATTATTATTATTAGTTGGAAGAGACCACACAGGCCATCCAGTCCAACCCCCTGCCATGCAGGAAAAGCACAATCAAAGCAGCCACAACAAATGGCCATCCAACCTCTGTTTAAAAACCTCCAAAGAAGGAGCCTCCACCACATTCCAAGGCAGAGAATTCCACTGTTGAATAGTTCTTATGGTCAGGAAGTTCTTCCTAATGTTCAGGTAGAATCTCCTTTCCTATAATTTGAATACATCACTTCAATTCCTAGTCTCCAAGGATACAAGCTTGCTCCCCCTTTCTGATGACATTCTTTCAAATATTTAAACATGGAGATCATGTCTTCTCTCAGCATTCTTTTCTGCAGGCTAAATATGCCCAGCTCTTTAAGCAATAGCAATTAGATGTTAAACCACATTTACAATCTGGAAAATCCCAGGAGACACATTTGCTGTCATTAATTGCCCAGTGCTTGGTGGCTTGACCTGCTGCACTTTGGAAACCCTTTGGTTGGAGTATGGCTTAAGATGTATGGCTTTTAGAGCATAGCTTTGTTGTCATAGCTATCCATGATAATGCAGGATAGAGCCTATGTTCTTAAAATGCTCCACCAAAACCTGAAGTTACTGTAATGGTAGAAATTTGGCCACTGGGATAGAATTCTTACTGGTGGCAACACCCTCATTTTGACCCTTCCTCCCATAACTACACCCTTGTCTATAGTGCAAAGCCTAGTACTCAGAAATCTCAGTTGTAGGTGGGAAAAACTGGCCATTGAATGCAGACAGAAAAAAAATCCCTGAATTAAAAAAGGTAGCATTCTACAGTGAAAGAAGAAAACCTACTCTTTAGTCTCACCCACTCATGTATTTGTTGCATTTTTTTCTTAATGTGGAAGTATTCAACCACTAATCTCCTAACTTGTAATCTGCCGTTATATCACACTGAGACAGGTTTGCTGTTTTATCTGCTAATGCATCTTCCTCCTTTTTGGCCCAGCTTTCTGAAAAAGCTTCTCTCACATCTAGCAATCTCAGAAACAACCAGAAGGTGGAATGGGTTTTCTTCCTTTCTTATAGCAATATGTAAATCTTAGTGGGCAGGGAGGGAAAAGTGTGCAAGACTTTATACTCTAGAGTTTCTAAAGTGACTTGAAGAAATATATTTCTATGACCTGAAGTAATATAATTATCCGTGAGTTACCTTTTGAGGTAAGGTAATGAGGCACAGCAAAGTCATATTTCAGAGATAATGTAGTCAGTGGAAACTTATTGGCGTAATGAACAAGAAGTTGAAGTTAATTTTGGAAGTTATATTTTAGAAGATATTGGATTCTTCCAGACCTCTGCCCAGAGATGGGAGTTCTCTCAATAAAACTCTTTGTTAATTGCGAATTGGGGCCTTCACTGATAGTCTCTCCAGCTTTTGAAAATAGTTCTTGTGATTGGGGAAGAATGAAGGAAGCTGTGT